TTAAAAAAAAGTTTAAAAAAAAGTTAAAACCGACCTACCCTACCTAAGTTTTTATAAGAAGAAACTGGAAACCCACATATTTTTTTTGGCCTAAGATATAAATTGAAGTGCACGCCATTATACACACAAAATTCCAATATAAATTAGTAAAACATCCAATGAGGTATATAAATTAAATACCTGATCTGCGGCCTGGTGATTTTCATCCATATCCTCGTCCATATCACTATGTTCGCTGTCGTTATCATCATTACCATTGTGTTGATACTGGTCATTGTTGTTACTGGCCTCATCTTCAGCCCTGTCCTGCCTTTTGCCGGTTGAAGTTCCTTGCTGTGGAGCTTGTGCTTGCGTGTCGTATACTGCTCGATGCTGTTTGCACCCATGTTTATAAAAAGAATTTTTTTTAAAACTACAGGACAACCATCAACATTGCAAGCCACTTGAAAATTTGGCTTGTTTCGGTGAACAACAAAACAGTGGTTCAATAAAGCTCATAAAGTCAACAATTTAAATGCATTGCAACATGAGCAAGTAAAAACTCTACCATCCATTTGCACCAAAACCTTTCTTTATGGAACATTTTGATACTGTATCAAAGAACATGACAGTATGAGAAACAAAAGTCTGATATTTGAATTATTTCATTATACATATGGATAAATATTGATAAACACGGATTAATGTGGATCTTGTAGCTTCCACTAGAAAAAATACAACTTCCACAATTAATGCGGCATACAGAAATATGGATCTGCAAAAAGCTTTTAAAGACCTGGCTGGCCCGGTTAACCAGGCTGAAGGCCTGGCTAGCCAGGAGGTTACCTGAGCTGGTGACTTTACATGGAGAAAGTTCAGCCCAGTTATCCGGGCATCCCCTTTGACTCAAGTGAGATCTCGGCTAGGCAGATTCTTGTTAAATGATTTGTATTAAGCTGGGTGCCTCGGTTAACAGGACTAGTCGGGCTCATGTAAATAGCCCCTTATTAAGACTTGTTGGCAGAGTAAAATATATCAGGCAATAAAACTGGTTTCAACTTGCAACAAATCAGATGTTGGTGCATGTAAGTTGTTACTAAGACTTGTTGGCAGAGTAAAATATATCAGGCAATAAAACTGATTTCAACTTGCAACAAATCGGCCTTTAAGGCCTTTGATCAAACAGAAAACACATTTGAAGGTCTTCATGTTCCAACAAATTGCTTTCTGGACTACATCATGAAAGATACAAAAATTGTTTTTGAGGTTGTGCATTTACTACAGCTTGAAATTTGCCAATCGTGAACTTTCCAACACTAAAAAGAAGAACAGAAAATATTTGAAGGTAGCGCATCTTTAACCATGTGCACTGGACAATATGCTGTGTTGCCAAAACAATTAAGCAATATAACTTCTACAAGTTATATTGCTTAAAATCTTTTACACCAAAGTACATAAGAACTGAACTGTAAGATACAAGGCTGGTGTTAAATCTAATGTTGATGGTAATCATACACAGGAGAAATTACTAAGATGTTGCTACACTGAGTAAATCTATACCAGGCAAGCTGAAAAATCAACTTGACCACAGTAAGAATGCAGCCCACAACCTCTGGTTTACAAGACCAATGCATTCCAGACTGAGCTACACAGTTTTAATGTGCAATATTTTATTATTTTGGAGCTTAATTAGTCTCGCTCCTTCACTAAGATGGTAAACCTAACAATGCCGATGGTAATTGATAACAGGTGAAATCATTAATTAAGATGGTGCTTGCTGAGTAAATCTACATGAG